ACAACCGAATAAACTATTTATTTTAAATCTTATTCAGCCCCCCCCCCCCCTGTTTTTTTTTTTTTTTTTTTTTTTGCTGAAGGATACATGCAGAGCCAGTCCGAGCCTTTTTGGGGCCCTAAGCAGATTTTTATTTGGGCCCCATTATACCAACACCAGATGCTTTATAATTCCTAAGCCACTCTGTGTGAGGCATACCTACTATCATTAGCATCATTTCTAATTAGCCTATATCATACCAGTGCTGTTATGACTTTTGAGTTTTACCTTACAGGACTAGCAAACCAAAAAAAAAAAAAAAAGAAAGAAAAAAAGGGTTTTAAAATGCAAAGTGGTATTTAAGTGTGCCATATTATAACTATTTGAATGCAACATCAGCAGATAAACACTAAATTTACTTTCCCCCAGCAGTGGCAGCAGCCAATTTCAGGATCAGATTAACAATTATTTGTGTAGCAACTATAAAAATAATATAGAAATGTTTTTTCCTTATAGAATTGCGTTTAGCTTGTATTATTCTAAATTATTTGAAATGTATATATGAAATGTTTTTATCATGATAGCTTGGTGCAGCTTGGGGCTGTAACCATCTGCTTAACTCACATATACCTTGGGCCAGCCCTGCATAGATATTACATAGTATTATCATTTTTCAGGCAGATGACCGTAGAGAAATATTTTCCCATACCATAATACTGCCTCCACCAAAAAAAAAAAAAAAAAAAAAATTTATGTAACTTATGGGCACAACCATGAAATGTATTTCCAATGTTAAAAAGATAAAATACTGCCTGAACTACAAACTGTTCATATATTCTAAAAATATTCTAATAATAAAAGTCGTTTTTGTTTCTGTACAAAAGCAGCAGAGCGTCACGTTATTTTGGACGGGTTTGCACGTCCTTGGGCTCGTTAGGCATGCCAGAGCTCTCTGTGCCAAAATGGAAATTGTCATGGTAACCAGAGGAGAGAACTTAGCTGCTTAGGTGACAGAAAAATGAATGAGGTTAAACGAGAAAGAATTGGCTCATCTGTCAGTGGAGCCACACACACACACACACACACACACACACACACACACACTTGTGTGTGTTAGAAGCTGCTGATGGATTCCTAGAGCTCAGGTCAGCTACTGGTTTATCTTCCCTGTCTAACTAAATCAATAGAGCTCTCATGCATTTCATGGATTGTTATTGTGTCATCTTTTCAGAGAGATTGACTTCTGCGAGCTTGTTATGAACCCATTTCCAGCCTTTTGAAATTTATCTCCAGCACCAGCAGAGGGGTGATTATGTGCAGACCGCGAGGAGATCAGGTCAGGGTTGGAAATTGATCACTAAATTAAAGCGTCTCGCTGACAGCTGTAATGAAGTGTTCCGGATTTCCTCAGGTCTTTTCTTGAGGAGCCTGGTGGCGTGTTTTGTGTGAGCCAGCGGGCTGAAATGCCCCTGCATACTCCTGTGTTTGATGAAATGAGCCGTTAGGGGATCACTGTCACTCGCAGGCTTCCAGCCTGGTTCAGCCTCTCTGGGCAAAGCCGCCGCGCTGCTTCAGGAACAGCAGGAATTTGGATCACATGCAGCAACGCAGAAACCTCCAGAAGGAGCAAGCTTAGTTTAATTCAAAAGGACTTTATTTATTTATCCCAAAGGGAAATTAAATGTTGTGGTAACTCGTATCATCTA